GTGAAGGAATTAGAATGGAGACACTGCTGTAGAACAGTGTGGTGCCCCCTCGGCTGAACAGAGAACCATCAGGGGGCAGTCTACTTTTTTCAACAATCACTTCTTGGGTCTCCACACACCATAGGCACAGTTCCTGGATTCAGGTTTCAGGATACAGGATCAGTAAAGGGGACTCCCCGAACAGAACATATAAAGTGACACATTCTCCTTCGGAGTCTGCTTCAGATAGCAGGACCCAGAGATGAGACCATTTTAACTGAATTTTTGTCTCTTTACAACTACATGAATAAAGGGGAGAATACATATCTTTAAAAAAAAAAAATCCTATGATTCAAATGAGTCATTCACAGAGTAGAAACACAGGTACATGTATTCAGGTGCTATATTTCATAGGTCACGTGCTGCAAATATACTGCTCTTTCCCCTCATTAAAGACAGTCTCACTGTATAGCACAGGCTAGCCTCAAACTTGTGATCCTCCTGCCTTCACCTCATCAGTGCTGAGATTATAGGTGTGGGCCCAAACTGTTATTCTCACTACCTAATAACTGCTGCAACAATCCAAATAGCTGTGAGGTTTACCAATGGCAGTCCTTATCTTACCAGATGTTTGCAGTGGGTAACCTTGTTGACCTGCTTCTACTTAAAATACTGAAATCCTTTTCTCCTGTAACCTCCATCAAGTCATACCCTAATTCTTCTACCTTTGGGACAGTTCTTAATCACCTTTGATTCCTTCCCCCAAAGGTCAAGCCCTAGATTACAGGACTGTCTCCAGTGTTAAGGCTTCAAGCTTCCTATTATCTATACTGATTCTCTAGCTTGGATTAGAAATCTGTCTCCCTGCCCCGGAATTCCCTCTGTAGATCAGGTTGGCCTTGATCTTGGGAGATCTGCCTCCTGTCTCTGCCTCCCAAGTGCTGAGATTAAAGGTGTGAGCTACCACACCCAGCCTCTATGTTTGGTTTTTTGAGACAGGGTCTCTCTGTAGCCAGAGCTGGCCTGGAACCATGTAGATCCAACAGACCTCGAAGTCTTGTATTTTTATAACCCAGGCTTGTGATCCTGCCTCTGCATTCCAAGTACTGGGATTATAGAAATGTGCCATTACAAACCTGTCCAATTCACTTGAGTAAAGAATTAGTATTGGGAACCTGTCCAAAACCAAACTCAAATCTCCCTTCAACCTGCTCACCCATTAGCATCCTTGTTCTAGAGGTTCAGGCCCAAACACTTGGCATCACCTTCATTCTCACCTAATACACTAGCACAGCCTAGTGTCTCCCTTTCTACTTCCTGCCACCTTACTGCTATCACCACCATCTCGTCACCTATCCAGAAGCCCAAATGATTTCTTGAAAAATTTAAGTGAGATCACTTGACTGTGCAACTGCTTTTCTACCTTAAGTCATTCTTTTAGTCTTCTGGGGTCATCTTGTTTCCAAAACATGTCCAAGGACATTTTACATGGTGCACATCTCTTGGCCTGAATGGCTGTGCCCCCCGATAGCCACCCTTTCGAATCCATCTTCAAATAGCTTTTATAATCAACACCACTTTCAAGTATCTCCTGTTCCATTGTTCTCCACACATGCAAAGCCCAGGGCTCACAAGCTACATGTGAACAATCTAGCTCAGTATCAAAGGCAAAATGGCACCTCACCCTGTCTATAAGATAGCTTGGGCTATAAGACTGTCTCAAAAAAAGTAACAACCCCCTCCCCCTAAAACCCAAGGATTGGAAACATGTTGGTGCTGTTTTCTAGGCAGTGTACAAAGCCCTAATTTCCAGGGCCAAATAAAAGTAGGCATAGTGGTACATACCTATTACTCCAGCAGGTAGTAGAGGAAGATTAACAACTCAAAGTCACCCTTACCTACATGAGTTTGTGGCCAGCCTAGGCTACATATGAACCTGTCTCAAAAAATTTTTTTAGCACTATGGGCTGGAGGCCAGGCATGGTGGCTCATCCATGCCTTTAATCCCAGAGGCAGATGGATCTCTGTGACTTCAAGGCTAGCCTGGTCTACACAGCAAGTTCCAAGCCAGCTGGGGCCACAGGGAGACCGTCTCAAAAAAAAAAAAAAAAAAACCAAAAAAACACACCCCCACACCCCGAAACTATACGCTGGAAAGATGGCTCAACAAAGAGCAGAGTACTCTTGCAGAGGTCCCAGCCTTCATGTGGGTAGCTCATAGCCACTTCCATGTAAATACACACAGAACTTTAAATCTTTTTTTAAAGTCCAGACTATACCTGTATGAACACCACAGACTATTTCTTTTTAAGAATTTGGAGCTGTGGAGCCAAGCTGCCTCCTTTACAAAGCCTTCACTCTATTTGCTTTCACTTTTTCAGAGCTAGCTCAAAAATGGGTTTCAGGTTACTTCAAGATCCTTCCAAATCAGGTCTATACTGGTTTTTACAGCCTAACAATGGCTTAAAACATTATACTGCAAGGTGTGTGTGTAGGGGGGATCCTAGATCACAACAGCACTTTCCACTTCATTTCTGTCATTCATCACAAGTGCCCAGTATTTGGGCTTCACCAGCCACTGGATAGCACTGGCAACTCCCTTAAACTTAGGACATTTTGAACTTCAGAACAGATACTGGATTCATGTTCAAATGAACAGAATTGTCACTGGCTTTTCAGCTTCTTTTGAAGCCACATAATTAACCAGGTAAGAGTGCTAAGGGAGTCTCAATACTTCTCATTATCAACTCAAAGCTACTGACATTCTAATTTCGTCCTTTGAAGTATGTATGGGCTGGCATTCTTCCTAAAGGCTGCCTTACAGTCATCTTATGACCAGTAGGCCCAACTGCCTGACAAGTCTTTCACCTTTGCAGTGGGAATTCAAACCATAATTCAACATAGCAGTATTCCAACAAACTGGACGAATGTCTCACATCCCATAAGGTATTCTTCTCATCTTTTCTCCAATCATTTCAAAATGACCATCACCTCATGGCCCGCTCCAAAATGTTTCCATACAACTCTAGGGGCCTGTAGGCCTGTTTGCCAACCCCACCTTCATCCCAGGAGACTTGGCTCTACTTGTTAAATAAGCTGATAATACTTTGTTCCAACTGAGTTGGTCTTTTTATTCTTTTGGTAATTGCTTCCACTGCAGGTGTTGAAATGCAGGAGGTTCCACTTCAATGACACTGCCATGATCATGGGCCTTCCCTTTACTGCCACTCAGAACATAACTGATTCTTGCTCTTTCATACTCCAGTCTCTTAGTTTCCACTGCAGCAGCACTGAAGACAGTCTTAGCTTTCAAGTGGTGCTCTACCACCAGGTTCTAGCTTCTCACCAGCAACTAAAGAACAGATTTAAGCATAATGTTAAACTAAGAGGCAGTCTCAAATGAATTCAAATGCACTTTATTTTTAGACAACCTACACGACATGTTTTTCTTAAAAAACAATGCTTCCACTCCAAATAAATCACGGTCAAAATAAAAGAGCTCAAGATGACATCAGTCCCATTTGTCTTAAGTCCTGGTGTTGTATGGATGACAAGCAGCAGCCAATTGTGATGACAAGGTGACAGATCCAAATTGTCCAATTTGTTACTGTAAAACAAGGAGACTGCATTAAGATCTTTTCCCATTTTGCATAGGCAACTTTTGTATTACATAAATGTACTCCCCAATTCAATCTGGACAGCCACAAAGACAGACAGAAAGCGCAGGGAGTATTTTCTTTTGCATCCTAGTGCAAACCTGAAGAACAACCACAAATTGTTCAAGGTCTATCAGTGGATGCAGATATCTCTACTAAGTCAGAGGTACTTGCCAAAGTCTAACCTGCAAAATTCCAACTTAGCACTGCATCAAGGAATACCCAGACACTGCCTGAACACCCTCTTTGGACAAGTAATCCTGTACTATCAGGTCTGAACTTGTCCTCTCACTACCTTTCAGTACAGCCCTAAGCTTATCTCCTACCTAATTTACATGGAAGCCTACAAAAGCTGGGACCTTTGTTTTGTACAGCCTCCAAATGGTCCTTGCAAAACAGACATTCATTCTTCCTAAAATTCACTCAGTTTTCATCTGTTCCGCTCCTAAGCTATTTATTAGAGGCTAACAATCCTCTTAAGGATAAAATCCTCTCAAAGATAAAGTCTATCTCACTAGTTAAAAGGTTGTACAACCATGTCAACTATTAGCAGGCAAAGAATCACATGCAAAATATATCCATGTCTACATTAGAAATTTCAACACATACTTACACATTTTTCCATTTCTAAACCATCCTTAAAGAAAATCATATATGGAGTCACACCATCCTCACGGTAGTCCAGGAGAGCAACCATGCCATCTGGATTCATGTTTTCACCAATAAAAAACTTAAGAAACAACAAATACCCAGAATTAGGCTATCACATATATGCAGAGATGTACTATATCAAAGCAGACTATAAAAGGGAGATTCAGAACTGTTCCAGAACAAGGCACTTTGGCTGACTCAGAAACGCCATAAAATTCCAAACCCTAGATGACTGTTCAGATAGAAGTACTGGGGACATGGAGCCAACAGTAAATATTCAGCCAAAATACGCCTGAAAAGTACAAAGCTCTGGAGAGCCAGTGAGCTGTCAGAAGCTCTTCAAAAGCAGGGCTGAAAAACACTAATGTATCAGGAAGTCAGAATACCGAAAGACTTCTCAGAAGCACACAAAGTCAGGAAGGTCTGACAAGTGTCAATTGAGAAGCCAGTGGGAATGACTTCAATAAAAACAAAACACGAATCCATTGGAACCAGAACACAGGCTACTTACTTTCTACACCTGGACTATAAGCAGGGTCTCTGAATCACAGCCATAATTTAATTACAGAACAATGATAAAGAAACCCATCTTTTGTTCCTGAGGTTAAGGTCATATAACCTTTCAAGTCTATAGTTACCTGGTAGTTATTGAAATTTGCAAGGATGTGCTTGATTTGTTCTGCAGCCCCAGTCATAAAGGGCTTTACTCTGTCTGGTTTCTGTTCTTCAAGTTTGCCTTTGAGTCTAAAAAAAGTAATTTTTAAACAGGCCATTAAAGTATTGAACTTTGAGCAAAATCCTTTTTCAGGAAGCACAAAGACTTCAAGCCCCAAGAGCAAAAGAAAAATCCTGTATTATGCAAAAGGGCAACTAGCTGTTAGCAGAAATAAGAACACAGGGACATTTCTAGAAACGTTTAATTCCAAACATATTAACTGTTTTCAAGGTACTGTCTCTTTTTTTAAGGTCAAAACAGGACTGCTTAACCCAGTATGCTCACTACTGAAAAGCAACCACCCTTACATAATAAAAGGCCCTGCCACAGGTATCAGTCTAAGACCTTAGACACCGTCAGCCTGTTCTTGTCACTTACGATTTCATGTAATCTTTGATGTACTTCTTGTAGGCCTCTTTTGTGAAGCTAGTTTCCTGTAAGTGATGGTTCATAACAATGTCAACACCGGTGACTACTGTGCTTTCGGTTCCTTCGCCCTCCGGGCCTTCAGCGGAAGCATTTCCACCAATGAGCGAGTCATCGATGCTACCCTCTGTCCTGCTGACCATCTACATTAAGAAAACGTAATTCAGTTGCAAAAGAAAAACCACTTCTAAAATGCCTTTTACACCCCACCAACGATGTCAATTTCCTAAAACTGCTTATCTCAACAAGAACTGCTGGGAAGCTGGTTCGAGTTACTGGCTCTCTTGTCTGGCTACGGGTTAAGTGAGGACAGTACAAACATATCCTCCAACAGAGACAGTGTGTCCCGGATCGCTCGGAGGGAGGACAGGCGCCGAGTTCACGGACCTATTTATTTCCAGGCTCGGCTCCGCCTCCACTTTTCTAGAAAAACCCAAGGCCGGAAGGAGCGTGTCCTCCGCCTGGAGGCGGCTGGGAGGATTGCACCAGCCCGGGCGGGGAGCCGCAACCCGAGCCAGCTGGCCGGCCTTCCCCACGGCGGCTCACCTTGCCCTCCACCTCGAGGCACAGCCCGTTCGCGATCTCCCGGATCTTGTAGATGTCGGAGAACAGCTCGTCACCTATTTGGGGGACAGAGAGCAGCGGGTCACCCGGCAATGGCCCGCCATTTACCGCGCCCGCCGGCCGGCTGGGCGCACGCGGCGGCTCCTGAATCAGGCTCGGCGCTCGCGACCTAGGCACGCGCCCCGGCCCTCGACCTCTCCGAGCCCACCCGCATCCGGGCCCGCGGGAGACACTACGACCGCAACTCACGGCTGATGATGTCCCGGTAGATGATCATGACGGTGGCTGGGTACAGCGGCGCTGGCCTCGGAGCTCCGAACGAGCGCGGTGCAGCCGAAGCAGCGCTCAAGGGGAGGGGGGAGCGGGCGGAAAAGGCCGACTGGGGCGCTCCCCAACCTCATATAGAGGGCACGTCCCTTACGTCATCGCCCGCTGCGTCTCCGGAAGTACCGTAAGCGGTGACGTGGCACGCAGAGGCGCGGGGGCGTGGTCGTGATGGGCCGGAGGGCGGGGGAGGCGAGCTTCCGGGTCTTGGCGCGGACACAATGCTCACTTGCGCTGTGGTGCGCCCGCAGCTGGAGGGCGTCGGGCAACGGGAGCCCGAGCCCAGGGCCTGCTGGGAGACGTGCGCGCCTGCTGAGCCCGCCCCTGGCCCGCCACTCTATGCCACGGGGGTGGTACCGCGCGTGGGTGAGGGCCCCCCCCCCCAGCCTGGCTAACTCCCGCCCCAGCTCAGCATAGCTCATGTTCCCTCCCCTTTCTAGGAAGATGTCGGCCGAATAGGATACGTCGAGGGGGTAAGGGGCACGACACGACACGACCACGGCCCGGGCTGGTATCTGCTCTCCATCCAGCTCGCCTGTGGTCTTGAAGCCCTTTGTTAGATGTTGTGTATAGCCACTTTAAAGTGAAATAGGAATTTTTTGGTTTTTGAGACAAGGTCTCCCTGTAGCCCCAGGTTGGCCTGGAACTCCCTGTGTAGATCAGACTGGCCTCTATCTCACAGAGATCCTTGAGTGCTGGGTTAAAACTTAACTCTTTTTTTTTGGGGGGGGGGGGTCTTTTTGAGACAGGGTCTCCCAGTAGCCCCAGCTGGCGTTGAACTCACTAGACCAGGCTGTCCTTGAATTCACGGAGACCTTCCAGAGTGCAGAGAGTAAAGGCATGTGCCACCACACCCAGCTGAATCTGATTCTTAAGTGGACTTAGCTTTTATCTAAGACTCTATCACAGTGCTTTTTCATTTTCGTTTTGTCCATTTTTTTGTTGCTAGGTCTCATTCTGTAGGCCGGGATGGCCTGGAACTCACTGTGTAACCCACCGTGGCTTCTGCCATTCTCCCTGTCTTTCTGCCTGTCTCCTAATGCAGGGTTGCATGAGCCTCCATGCTCAGCCACAGCGCTTTTAAAATAAGTGTTGAGAAAACAAATTTTGTGAATAGTGAATAGTTTTATTAAAAGTGAAATGAAGAGCTGAGTGTGGTGGTGCCACAAATTTGTAATCTCTGGGATTGGGAGGTGGAGACAGAATCAGGAGTTCAAGGTCATCCAAAGCTACATAACAAATTAGAGGCCAATCTGAAATCCTGTCTCAAAACACAGACAAAAAAACCTCAACGGCAAAAATAATGGAATAGTGAACAGGATTCTGTGAACCCTTTTCTTGTTCTGAGTTGCCTGACTCAGGAATTTTTCTTTGTTCAAATAAACTCTTGTTTTATGAGACAGAGTCTCAATACACAGTGAGCTGTGTATCCCTGGCTGGTCCAGAATTCATTATGTAGATCAGATTGACCTCAAATTTATAGAGATCCATCTGACTCTGCCTCCCAAATGCTTGGATTAAAGGTGTGGACCATCATGCACAGCTCAAATAAAAAAGTAGAATATAAATCGTAAATGCCTTGCATGAATTTGAGATATTAGAAACTGTCATATGTTGATAAATGCATAAAAGATAAATTCAAAATTAAAAAAGAATTAAATACAATTTTAGGGGCTGGGGAGATGTCTCAGCAGTTAAGAGCACTGACTGTTCTTGCAGAAGACCCAGGTTTGATTCCCAGCACTCATGTGGCAGTTAACAACTATGCATAACTCCAGTTCCAGGGACTCCAGTGCCCTCTTCTGACCTTCACAGCACTGCGTGCCATGGGTGCACTTACACACAGGCAGGCAGTACACTCATACACATAAGATAATAATTTAAAAAATTTAAATACAGTGATATAAGCGTGGTGGAGCATGCTTTTAATCCCAGCACTTAGGCAGAGGCAGGGCGGATCTCTGTGAGTTCGAGGCCAGCCTGGTCTACATAGTGAGTTCTAGGCCAGCTGGGGCTACAGGGAGACCCTGTCTCAAAAAGACCAAATATTCACAGTAAAAGTGAATATTTATTTATTTATTGCAGTGTTGTGGTCTAGCCCAGGGTTTTGCACATGCTAGGCAAGGACTTCTACCAGAATTGTAGTCTAGCAGTCAGTGGGGCTGTAGTCTAATGATCAGTGTGTTATGGAAAGCAGGAAGTCAAGAGACCAAGCATTTACTCACAGAGTTGGAGAACTCTATTTATACCAGCAGACCCAGAGGAGCTAATGCTCTGAAGTTCTGGACCCTGAGTTACAGAAATCCACAAGTTTGTAGGTTTCCCTGAATCATACCTTAACTGCTACAACATTGGTAGATTCAAATAACAATGGCCTATGTTTTTAAATTTATTTTTGGAGCCAGGACCTTACTGTGTAACTCTGGCTGGCCTCAAACGCACAGAGATCCACCTGTCTCTGCTTCCCAATTGCTGATACTAAAGGCATGCACCATGACACCTAGCTAGAATTTTAATCTGCAGGTAATGCCAGTTTGCAGCCAAGTTGAGAGTGTCACTAATAAGAAGAGAACATTTCCTAAACAGTCACCAAGAGAAGCAATTTGGTGCTCTTTAAAGTTCGATTGCCTCACAGAGAAAGCCACTAAGTTGACATCTGCAGGGGGTTTGGTGGTTGGGCACAGGGGATATGACACTGACAGAGGTATGATAGCCTGATTTTCCCTGAGCAGAAAATTGCTTAATGGCCAACTTTTGGAGAGAGAGTCAACCAAGGGAGCTGCAAAGAAGGCTGTGACTGAAAATACTTAACTCTTTTCTCTCCCTTTTAAAAAGAAACAACTAATTATCTACAAAAATAAAAGGCCTAGGGTTTGGAGAGGTAGCTCAGTTGGTAACAATGAGGACCTGAGCTCAGATAGCCACATAAAAGCCAGGTGTGACTGCATATATCTGTAATCCCAGCTTTGGGGGTGAGGGACAAAGGCCAGCCAAGCTAACTGAAACTGAACTCTGGTTTTAGTGAGAGACCCTGCCTCAAAAAATAAGATGGACTGCAATTTAAGACATCCAATGTTGACCTCTGGCCTCCACAACTGCATGCATCAGTGAGTGCCCCCCCAAATTAATGAATTAATAAAAGGCATATACTTGTCTTAAATTGGTGCTTTCTCCATAGGCCATTTCCAACCATGTTAAAATTACATCCTCTAGCTGGGCGTGGTGGTGCATGCCTTTAATCCCAGCAGAGGCAGGTAGATCTCTGTGAGTTGAGGCCAGCCTGGTCTCCATAGCTAGGTCCTGGCTAGCTGGGGCTACAGGGAGACCCTGTCTCAAAAAAAAAAAAAAAAAAAAAAATTACATCTTGTGATTAAAAAAAAAAAAAAATACAATCTCTTGCCTCCTCTCGGAGTCCCCTGAGGAAAATGTTTCTCCCTAACATTTTCTTGGAGCACATCATTAATCCACATCCTCTTATTTTAGTGTCTGTTTCCCCTCACAATGGCTTAAGAGCCAGGGAGGCAGAGACTCTTTATCTTGCTCACAGCTGTGTCCCAGTGCCTGAAGCAGTGCCTCATAGAAAGCCTGTAAGTAACTTCAGTGAGCTTGAGACCAGGACTAATAACAGCAAGTGGTATCGGATCTGGCCACATTCCAGCCCAGAAGCTCCGTGAGGTTATTCCATTTGTGCAATCCGAGTTTCTGAATTCTTTTACGGCCTGCACCTTGGGTTTCTGCAGTGCAGTGTCTGAAAAATAAAGCTGCAAGAGCAGCAGTGAGTGTAGAATAGAGTTCTCTCTCGAACCAGGGGAAGTGCTGGACTGGAGAGATGGATGACTCAGTGCAGGATGCTCCAGCAGAGAACCCAGGTTCGGTTCCCATGTAGGTACATGGTGGCTAACATCCAGTGCCTTCTTTTGACCTCTGCTGGCATTGAACACAGGTGCACTTATGTACTTGCCTGAAAAACACTCCTACATATAAACAATAATAACTTTAAAAGCAAGTTGCAGAGCAGCAAGGCCTGTATGGTATCCATTTAAAACACAATTGCACATAATTAAAATCAACATATGGGCCAGATACCATGTTGCACACCTTTATTCCCAGCACTCAGGAAGCAGAGACAGGAGAACCTGTGAGCTCAAGACCAGCCTGGTCTCCATAGTAAGTTCCAGGCCAGCCTGAGCTAACAAGCAAGCAGACATGGCAAACGTACATGTATCTTTGAAAGTACACCCAAGAGCTTAGGAAGGCATGCGTTGGTCAGACAACAATGGCTCGATTGGGGAAAAGTGAGTGAAGGAGGGAAACCTCACTGCTAATTATAATGCCTAGATTAAATTTGTTCAGTGCTCTTTGCAAATTTATATTTTAAAACATCCTTTCCCCTTTGATACCAAACAATAATGCAAATAAAAATGGAGACGTATATATATTATGTGTAGACAGTCTATTAAGGAAAATTCACTGAAATAAGACCTTTCAAGAGTGAAGGGAGTTTCATATCTAAATAGTACAGCTGGGAGGTAGTGGATTTACTAATGTGAACGTGTGCTCATGTGAATAAACTAGCACAATTTTGATCTTGAAAACTGACTCAAATTGTTTTGCAAAAAATGACAGCAAGTCCTTGTAAGGGAGCAGTTAGGAAGGGATGGTTGAATGCTTGTCAACTGGCTGCAGAAGAAAGATAGCTTATCTTCTGCCTTCCACTCTCAGAGCATACTGGTGTGGGAATTAGAATGGCAAAACTAACTCCATTTTGTTCTAGCTGCCTTTTTACTTTACCCTGTGTTTTTGCCCAGCCATTCCCACTGCAGCCAGCCAGGCAGAACATCTCATGCAGGTAGTTTCAGGAAGTATATTGTTTCTACAATACTGGGAAACAAGTAACCAAGTAGCATGTCCAGATAGCACATCCTCCCTCCCAGGTCTACCTGCATCACCATGGAGCCCATTGTTCTACAATTCTGAGAAACTTGTTTTTTCCTAGTTGAAACTTTTTGTTAACCAAAAACCTCTTTGTTAATTGACCTGCCTTTGGTCTGGTGTAACTATGATGACCTGATATAACTAGCTTATTGACTTTGCCCCTGGCATGATGTACTTGTGGT